TGCAGGGTTCTGTACCAGGCAGGGGAGTGTCCAACTACATGTGTGATGCAGCAGGAGAAGGAGAGGGGTGGGAGGGCCTGCCCACCCCTGCAGAGTGTGCAGCCTAGAGGGCCTGTGGCCCCCACTAGTGCTTCCCTTGCAGAGTATGGTCCCCACAGATACAGCCTGGGGGAGTATGTGACATCCAGACACATTGAAGTTGGACAGCTGTGGCATAAAATAATATCTGTGACAAGATACTACCTGATATGATGAAAAGTGTGAGAATTTGGTCCTAAATGGGCATCGGTCATGTGAAATTCATCCAAGTTCAATTGTATAATTCACTACTATATCATATTGCTTTATGCCAAAGGGTTATTTTTTTTCCACTTGAGTTTCATAATTGCTCTAGCACATGTACTGACTGTGGAGTTGTATTGGCTGTTGGGCTGCCCAGGATTTCTGCTTACAATATCTAAGCCTTGGTGGGGTTCATTATGCCTTTTCCCCTGTGCCTGTAATGCATGATTGAAATGATCTACCTGGACAAACAGAGAGGGTGCATTTTTAAAGGTAACTTCTTTAAGCAGGACTTTTCCCTTGGCACTTGATCTTGGTAAATGATCTAGTTGTTTTGCCAAGCACTGAGGTACTTGGTGTTTATATAGTGTCTTCAAACTAAGATTCTCAAAACAGGTTACAGGTATCAATTGCTTGTAACATCCCTGTGAGGATAGATATTATCTTGATTTTCCACTTACAAAACATACTGGAGAGCCTGTGTTCTTACCCTTTCATGGTAGGTTTAATTCAGATATCCTGATTTGCACTCCATCCTAGAGACCACCGAGACTTTTTAGCCATCTGCTGGCAATAGCAGGGTGAGAAAATGTTTTTAGTTTTTCTTCAGTCATTATTTATTTATTTATTTATTTATTCAGTTTAAAATTGCATCCAACCCAGGAGAGATGCATGCATATACACATGTTTGTATATACACATATACATCATGTATTTGTGTGTACTTTAAAAACTTTTGGGAGTATTAATTTTATTATTTACATTTATAAATTATAATATAATAGTAGCCATTCCATACTTGGTGTGCCAGTGATGATTTTTTTTAAACTACAAAAAATTAACAGAACATTCAGTTCTCCAGCACTATTCCAAATTCATTGCACCAGCAAAAATATAAGCTGAAATTAATCAACATAGTCTTGTGTGTGTGTGTGTGTGTGTGTGTGTGTGTGTGTGTGTGTGTGTGTGTAATATGTGTGTATATATGTATGTGTGTGTATGTAGTGTAGTAGTGTGTATTAGTACTATTAGTATAGTATAATTATAGCAATATGCTAATAGTTGTGTAATACTATTTATTTTTAAATAATAGTGAGTTTAATGCATGGGTAAAAAACACCCTTTGTATATGTAGAAAATCACCTCTTATTTGAGACTGTGTAGATAGAGGCAGTTCACATATTTCACTGAATGAGATCATGCAAGAAGGTAAATATTTAGAGAGATTCTCTGAGGTCTACTTTTTCTCCATTTCTTGTGATGTAAAAATACAAAAAGACCAAAGAATGCTATGTCATGTGTAAAGGAGGTCCTGCATATACAGTTATATAGGCCTGTTACAGCCTGTTATATCTATTGATATTCACCCTGACTTCCTTTTCTTCATTCAGGTTGTGAAGTATCAGGAGGAAAATCAGTTTGGGTCTAATAACTTTTCATGATCACATTTTCAGAATCTTTACAAATTAATAACAGCAGCATATTTTAGGCAGCACTAGTTCAATCACAGGCATTTTGACATTTTCCTTGTCACCTGTCTTGTTTCTTTATGTATATGGATATGTCAGGCTTTCTCAATCAAAAGAAAAAAATTAATATGGAGGGGAGCTGCTCCTTTCACTGGTGACATCCAAAGCCTTCCCTAAGCATGTACCACTTCTAAAACCTGCCTGCACAGCAGTTTACTTGCAGGATTTGTAGAGCTTTCAGATCCTTCTGGGGAGACATGTCTGTATAGAGCATGTGTAATAAGTACCTTCTGAGTGCTGGAGAACTCTATCTGACTGTCATCATGATAATATATTAGCTTTGGCATAAAATGGTCTTGTCCTATTTTACAGTTGTGTTGGTGGTGATGATAATATGAAAAAAAAAACCCATCTAATTTACTTACCCATTTAAAAAATACCTTGTTCAGAGGACAAAAAAGTAGAGTTTTGCAGAGGTGATATAAAAATATTCCTGTTTTTGGCAAAATGATATGGCAAAACTTTTTTTTCTAAGAATACCTCCTTAGGTACATAGTTTGTTCTGTGGTTACTACTTTCTTTTCAATAATCAAAGAGTAGGACGCTTTGGAAACAATCTTGGGAGTGAAAGAAAAGCTTATTTACTAAGCTTTTCATTGGAGTTTTTAGTATATTCTCTTGTTAATATCCATGATCATTGGTTTTTCTGCCATTTTTTAAGAATGTGTTTCAGCTATGTTGTCAAAATCACAAATTGTGGTGAAGTTTAAAGGGCCATAAATAAGGATACGAATAATTTCTTGGCATGTACTCTAGTGATCACACTTTTTTCCAAAATAATCATTTTAATAATTTGATTCTATAAAGTGGCATATTATGTGAATAGTTCTGAAGATTGTTGTCTATGTCGGGTAAATCTTCTGTTCTGTAACTCTGTTCTAATTTTGCATGTTTTTACATATTTTTATGTTGAAGATAGAAAATTTCCAGGTGTGTGATAGCCAGCCATGGTTATTTATTTATATAAGGATCTTGGCAAAATAACTTTATATATATATATACATTTTCAGGATAAATGTGTGTAAAACAAACATACTATATGCTTTGTCTTCTCTTTATGTAGAAATGTCTATAAACATCTAAGTTAGGTCTTTCAGATGAGAGAGCACTGCTATTATGAGCTTAGTGTTTTCTCTTTATGTTACAGAAATAGCTAGGCAAGCAGCACAAATAAAGCTTTTGAGAAAACTTCAGAAGCAAGAGCAGGCTCGAGCTGCCAAAGAAGCAAAAAAACAGCAAGGTAAGTAGCAGACCTCTAAGACATTGCGTGGACTTGCAGATGAGCTTTAAAATTATCGATATTGCATTACTGGTCTTCAGTTTGTTCCTGCT